AAAACAGAAGCAGCAGTGACACCAGGTGTTGTCATGACGGTGCGGCTCCCACGGCCAAGCCCGTGCTCTGGTCCCTGCAGCCACAGGGGAGGGAGGTGTGACTTGCCAGGTGGCCAGCTCTCGGGCAGCGGAGGTGGGGCTGGGCTCCCGCTGGTGCTCTGGTCACAGATACCTCCGCCTGGTCGCTTGCGCACTGCCTTGACCAGTCACCGCCGCCCAGGCAGCCCATTCTTATTCCCAGGAGGCATGTGTGCCCTCCCCCCATCTCCGCTGGACTGAGCCCGCAGGGCACCCGCCACCATGTGCAGAGTCCAGGCTGTGCCGGCCCTGCTGTCCTCAGGCCTGGCCAGCCCCTCAGACCTCCCGCTGGGCTCTTCACCGAGGAGGGCAGGCTCCCGTCCTGGGGTGAAGGCACCAGCCTCTGCCGGTGGTTCTGCTTCCATTTACGTGGAGACTTTTTTGGTTGTCACATAGGGCTGGGGGCGAGGACTCTGCTCAGTGTCCTATAACGCACAGGACACCCCACCCCACCCAGAAAGAATTATCTGGCCCCCAAATGTCAAAGGCAGCCTTGGATGAAGGGTCAGAGAGGGTCCACCCCAAAAGAGAGGACCGTGAAAGCAGCCAAGAAGGAAGAGGGGGACAGGGACGTGGCTGGAGCGTGCTCGTCTGTCTCCCCGACCTGTGAAATTCCATCGCGTCTTTTTTCTTTCAACACTCCAAGTACACCTGCCATCTGAATGAGAGACAAGGGGCCGTAGCTCTGACGCACTGCAGACAGTGCTCAAGATCAAAACCGTGACTCGAGTGACGTGTAAAACGTGTCCTTAAACAGAGTTGGGAAAGGAGGCCACGGCCGTGTGCAGACCCTCGGGGCACCAGTCAGCCCTCTGCTGCAGGCCCCAGGCTGCCACCTACGAGGTCCACAGGACACGGAAGCCCAGAGAGGCTGAGCGACCCTCCCAGAGCCACACAGCTGTGGAAAGGCAGGGCAGCGTTCGGCCTCGAGTCGAGTGACGTAAAGGGTTGCCCTCTCCTAGAGTTGGAGCTGGTTCAGGGCGTCCCCTCCTGCTCACCTTGGAGATGGTGGCCAGCCTCTGCTCCACGGTGGTGAACAGGCTGGTGGAGGTCCTGTCCTGGCATCGTAGCCGGTGCTGCAGCTGCAGTAGGGCCGCCAGCTGCGAGCTGCTCGTGTTGGCTGTGGCTGTGAGCAGGACGTCCCGCATCATCCCTGAGGCCGAGCAGCTCTGAAACAGACC